TGTATAGTCTACAGGGCAAAAGTAGAGAAAGTAAAACCAAGAAGGGAAATGAGGACAAAGTCAGGTCACTTAGCCAGAGGCAGAGGCATAACTCGAGGCTCAGAATGCTGAGTCCAGTCCCCTAAACCTTACCTGACCCCAGCTTTGGAAAGATGCTCCTTGCAGCCACTGCGTCAATAACCCTCACATTGCCTGGGGATGTGCCACATAAAGAACCTTTTCTCATAATGGAGAGGTAAAACTAGAGAGGAAGAAACTATTATTGCTTGAAGTATCAAATGATCCAGAGACATCTCCGCATGTGACATGGGTTGATGCCAAAGTCTGTGGGACCAATAGCTTGGAAGCACAGTCTTGGAATCTATTTTCCCAGCATTAGTACAGGGATTTCTCTGTTCCTACTCAACAACGAGGGTCCCTATAGTTCAAATGAGGAAATTAATTTCTTGGTAACATTTTATTCATAGGATCTGAACTTGAAGGTGGTGGGTTCTAGATGAAACCTGTGTTTACTTTGTCCTCTGCCTCCTCCTTCCCTTAAAAATACTTATGACACATCTTAAGCTCCCTACTCTGTCTCTGGTGAATCTTCTCACCGCTCCTGTCCCTCTGGCCTGTACCCCAGTTCTGTGTGCATAAATTAATAAATCTTAAAAAAAAAAAAGTACAGAAGCACAGGAAAGTGAAACAGTTTTGGGTGATGACTAAGTGACTTTGGCAGTTGTGGGGCAGGGCTGTCAAGCAGTTGGAAGTGTGAGACTCAGATTTGTGCCCAAGTCTTCATCAATAAGGAGGAACCCTTGTGATTCAGACTCAGAATAATATCTGATGAAAGAAATACAACCTGTTAACCTAAAGTAACTATCAAGCAATTCTATTGTGTAGTCTCACTGTTTTAGAAATTTAAAGGTGCTCATATAGAAATTCATGGGCACACTGATTAAAACCCCCTTCCTCCACTTCTCTTTCTTTATATCCTGAGTCTATTCTGTGCCATTCATTTGCTTTTCTTTTATTAAATGTTATTTAAATATTTATATTTTATATCATTGTTAATTGTTGTACAATCTCCATCAAATACACATGCACATACACATAAACACACACACACTCATACAAATACACATTATTCTCAAGATGACACGGAACTATTACCAAGATAGACTTCATTCTTCATCATAAAACAGTGTAAAACTTTTAAAAGAATAGAAATTGCACAATATCTACTTTCAAGTCATAGTGTAATTAAATTAGGAATCAGTAACAGAAAGCTTCCTGGAAAAATTCTAAAATATTTGGAGACTAAACAATATATTTTTATTTTTCAAATTTTTATCATTGTTCATTTTCGACAATTTTTGATTTCTCTTATCAGGCACAGTCCCCATAAATTTACTGTTACCAAGACAGTTATGCACTATCATCATAGACTCTCATGCTCTTCTCTCTTGTTTTGATCCCTTTCCCTCCCCCTCCCCTGAGGACTGTCTCCAACTTATAGTCTGACTGCAAGTTTTGTCTTTTTTCCTGATCCCTTGTATAGTTTCCTTATGTCCCTCCTGTAAATGAAACCATCTGATGTTTTTCTTTTTCCTTCTGACTTATTTCACAGAGGAGAATCCATTCCAGTTTAATCCATGATGCTAAATGGCACCTAACAATCAATTCATGTACTTCACTACATCAGCAGACTGAAGACAAGAATATCTTACAATGATATCAATAGAATGTCTTTGATAGAACTCAACACCCATTCATGATTTAAAGATAAAACTTCCTCAATATAATAAAAAAAAAATCTATAAAAGGCCTACCCCATAATCAGTGGTGAGACTGGGAACACAGCAAGATATTTCTCCTGTTTATTCCTCTTCAACAGCATATTGGAAGTCTTAGCCAATGCAGTGAGATGAGACAAAGAAAAAAAAAAAAACAAAGAACACAGATTTGGAAGGAAGAAGCAATACATCTTTTCTTTGTTGAAGACATAATTGTCCATGCAGAAAAACCACCAAAAAAAATTGACAAAAAAATTGCTACTAATAAGGAAGTATAGCAGACTGCAGAATACATGGTTAATAATTCAAGTTCATCAGTGAACTATAAACCACCAATGAAAAAAATATAATTTGAAATTAGTAGCAATGCCTTTTATATTAGCACCAAAAAAAAAAGAACATATTTAGAAACAAATCTAATAAAATATGCAAACTATGTCAGGAAATCTGACAAAAGATCGAAGAAGATTTAAATAAATGGACAAATAGTCATGAGTTACAAATAGAATGAATAAATATTTTTAAGATCTCAGTTCTTCCCAAGTTGGGAGTCCTTTCTCAAAACACATTTGTTCTGTTTGATTCTGTAGGGAATAATAATGGGCTTCTCCATCTGAATCCACATGGTAGGAAACTTTAGTGTCTAGATAAAATATTTGCAAACCACCACTCTACAAAATGAGCATGTGTTGTCCCATTCCTATAGATTCCAGGGCTTTAGAACTTGAAGTTCCCTGGATTCCACCATCTGCCAAGACTCTATCAAACTACCTCGTGCTTGGTCACTGTGTGGGTGTCTAAAGGGTCTGACTCATTCAAGATGGCAGGGGCCAGAGTCTGAGAGAGAGTACAGGCAAAGTCCCAGGCCTCTCGCAAGGGCCAGGCCCTTGTTCTAGCTGCTCCCCTATGACCTTTACTTTTTTCCTTTTGGAAAGGTTACTTTCCATTTCAAAGAAATCACAGCTCTTCCTAAGCCCAGAGGTCACTTCCTACCCTTTAACCACACGCACTTCCACCTCTGGCATGTGAACAATAAAGATAGCACTACTTACTTCTCTTTGTTTGGAAATCACCCCAGCATCTAATGTCGAGTCAGCACTTTTAGGCTCTTACTTCATCGGCCTTGAGCATGAACCTGCCCTTGTGTCAGATCTCTATAAAAGGCAGGCAGAGTCACCAGAGTTGCAGAGAGGCCGAGACAAGCTCAGAAATCTGTAACTCCAAGGCTGCAGCTGCATCCTCACCCTCCAGCATGAAGGTCTCCGCAGTTTTCCTGTGTCTGCTGCTCACAGCTACCACCATCAGCACCCAGGTCCTTGCTCACCCTGGTAAGTCCCCTCTCATCCCAAGGCTTGACATTTTGATCACCGCAGGTATGAACATCCCAGAATAAGTCATCCCATACTCTCTGTATAGTCTACAGGGCAAAAGTAGAGAAAGTAAAACCAAGAAGGGAAATGAGGACAAAGTCAGGTCACTTAGCCAGAGGCAGAGGCATAACTCGAGGCTCAGAATGCTGAGTCCAGTCCCCTAAACCTTACCTGACCCCAGCTTTGGAAAGATGCTCCTTGCAGCCACTGCGTCAATAACCCTCACATTGCCTGGGGATGTGCCACATAAAGAACCTTTTCTCATAATGGAGAGGTAAAACTAGAGAGGAAGAAACTATTATTGCTTGAAGTATCAAATGATCCAGAGACATCTCCGCATGTGACATGGGTTGATGCCAAAGTCTGTGGGACCAATAGCTTGGAAGCACAGTCTTGGAATCTATTTTCCCAGCATTAGTACAGGGATTTCTCTGTTCCTACTCAACAACGAGGGTCCCTATAGTTCAAATGAGGAAATTAATTTCTTGGTAACATTTTATTCATAGGATCTGAACTTGAAGGTGGTGGGTTCTAGATGAAACCTGTGTTTACTTTGTCCTCTGCCTCCTCCTTCCCTTAAAAATACTTATGACACATCTTAAATTTATTCTTCATAAACTTTTTTTTCAGATTCAGTTTCTATTCCAATCACCTGCTGCTTTAATGTGACTAAGAGAAAGTTCCCCAACCAGAGGCTGGAAAGCTATTTAAGGGTCACCAACAGCCAGTGTCCCCGGGAAGCTGTGATGTGAGTATTGAGTTCTTTCCATAGAAGGGAAAGAAGTTTACGATTCACGCCCAGATGAGTCTATGAACATGCCACTGAATCTAAAGGACAGGACCTTTATTACCGTATAGAAGCTGAGTCCACGGGTTGGAAGCTGTACCTGATGCATGCTTCCTTTGTAAGAACTTGATCATATTCCCCAACTTCCTTTGGCCAGTAACAGGAGGGTTTCTCCTGAGACAGCAAGAGCAGATTTGAGGTCTCTTTTTCCATTCTTCCACTTCCTCCTGTCCCAAACCAGGACCCTCACCCAGGAAGCAAGGGTTAATCAGGCTTACAGGCCGACAGGTCACACTACTGCATCAAATGTCAAGATATTCCATCTAACTGTGCCTTTTCTACAATCCACAGCTTCAAGAACAAGTCAGACATGTTGATTTGTGCAGACCCCAAAGAGAAGTGGGTCCAGAATGCCATGAAGTATCTGGACAAGAAACTCCAATCCCTGAAGGCTTGAATCTTCACACCTGGATTGCGAGACAGATCCAGAGGAAATCTTATTTATCTTCTCCACCCTTTTTGCCAATGCAAAACACTATTATTTAATAATGGCATCCAAAATAGTCACCTTGATAAGTAACTTAAAGTTCAATATTTCTTAAATACTATTTAATTTTGTTTAAGTTATTGCTGTTTGACTTTATTTGCTAGAAATAGCACTGAATGTTATATATAAAAGCTAGTGAGGTGTTTTCTTCTCTGTGAGCACAATTAAGTTCATGACAAGATATCACTGTTCTTCCTACATGTCTGCAGTTTGTTTCTTTCATGAATTATCCAAGTGAAATTCTTCTGTAGATTTAGAAAATTAGTGCTCCTATAAGTGCAATATGTAGTTTTTATTATTATACGATTAAGGAATTGTTAAATAAAATGTATATTTATATAATTTTGGACTATGTAGTCTTATTTTTCATGGGGTAACAACTTGGCTGGGAGTAAAAAATACTAGCAGTAGGTAGCAATTGGAGATATGACAAGGATACCTATGAACCAATTTAAACAGAGTCACACTGACCAAATTTGGGGAAATTTGATCACCCCAATAGATAGAACTGTTAAAAATGCAAACTAGGGCCCTCCCTGGTGGCGCAGCGGGTTAAAGCACAGCACAAAGAAGCTTAAGTCACTTCTACATGAGTTCGATCCCCGCATGCCCCGGAGGTGATCCACATGGCATGGCAGCCCTCTGCTGACTCGCCCGCTGCTCTCCTCAGCAGTGTACTTCGTCGATCTGCCTGTTCTGCTCCCCTCTCTGTCTCTGGTGAATCCTCTCACCCGCCTCATCTCTGGCCTGTGTACCCCAGTTCTGTTTTGAAAAATAAAAAAATCTTTAAAAAAAAAAAAAAAAGCAAACTAATTTATTTCAACCAATTGGATAAAATCAGAGAAGTAAAATTTCTAGTGTAAAAGAAAATGCTAACAAATAAACAAAGGAGAAATGATGGTGTTAGAATCTTACCATTTAGCAGCCCTATCAGGGAGGATCAACTTTTTCATTGTTTGCTTTAAAAAAAAAATATTTATGTATGCAAGAACTGAGGTGTAGGCCAAAGGTGTATGGGCAATAAGAGGATTCACCAGAGACAGAGTGGGGAGCAAAAAAGGCAGATCAATGAAGTACACTGCTGAGGGGAGCAGTGGGTGAGACAGGAGAGGTCTGCTGCTCCATGTAGGTTAGATTCTTGTCTGGCTGGAGATCAAACTTGTGTTGCAGTGGCTGGCAATAGCTTGATAGCACTGTCTTTAACTCCTGTGCCACCAGGGAGGCCCCAAGTTTTTGTTCTGTTTAGGCAATAATAATTCAAGACACCCCATGGCCCTGTCAAGTTAAGACATAACATTAACTATGGTTATATATGTAGTTATGTGGACTGTATATACATATATAGTTATGTACATAGATATGTGTATATATACAATTACATATCAGTATTATGTATATATGTAGATAGTTAGCATTTATGATTGTAAATAGTATAGATTTTCTTCGTCACTTGATGATCTGACTGGGGAGACTGTTGCCAAACAATGAAGAAAATAAGACATTTCAAAGAGATGATGCTGGAACAACCAGATATTTATATGGGGGGGAAGGGGACAAATTCACACTATAGACAAAAATTGATTTTGATTTAAGATAGTTTATAGACCTAAACATAAAATCTAAAACTAGAAAATACCTACAAGAATGTCTTTATGACTTGATGTGGAAATGACTTTTTAAACAGAACAGAGTACCCATAACCATAAAAATTGGCTTTAATCAACTCCAAAGGTCTCTGCTCATCAAAAAAGATATTACCAAGAAAGTAAAAAAATAAAAAGAGAAATCTATGACCAGGAGAAAACATATCACATTGCATACACACACTTTATTTCAATTTATATAAGGAATTCCTACAAATTAATAAAATCATTCATTTAAAAATGGATCCAGGCCCTCCCTGGTGGCTCAGTGGGTTAAAGCACTGCACTAAGAAGCTGAAACCACTTCCGCATGAGTTCGATTCCCGCCTGCCCCGGAGGTGACCACATGGTGTGGCAGACCTCTCCTGACCCGCCCGC